ATGAGTGTTGATGAGAAAAGCAAGTCACTAATGCCAAATTTTAGGATTTATATTTCTGAATGAAATTCATATTTAGCTTGCGATTGCTAGATTTGATTGTGAACTAAATCTGCTGCTATAAGGTGTACAAAGTGCTAGAAATCAAACCTATTTGTGAATTTACATCTGAATGGTATATGTTGTATTATGTTTAGTTAATAACTAAACATAATGTAAGAATACAAATGAATGAGCATGTGTCTTTATATCTGCACATAATAGGTATAACATTAATATATGTATTTGCATAATATACTAGTTATTTGGCCTTTATATTGGTTTGTAAACACATTTTGCTCGTGCAATGTATTTTTTATATTGTTTTATTCTCAACACAAGCTCTTATTCCTTTTTATACAGTGGAATATATTTCTATTTTCACTTGTTTGCAAACATAAATGAGCTTTTTTATAAGTAGTAATTATGGGGTATGAATTATTTAGGGCTTGTCTGTGTACACTCTCAGAAAACTCTTAAGGTACGAGAGCTGTCACTAGGCTGGTACCTTTTCAAAAGGTACACATTTGTACTTAAAGTGTCTATATTGGTATCTCAAAAGTATATATTAGTACCTAAAACATTTAAGATGTACAATTTGTACTTTGTAGGTATATGTATCCCTGAGGTATTAATATGGACCTTAAAGGCACAAATGTGTACCTTTTAAAAAGGTACCACCTCAGTGACAGCTCTCGTACCTTTATTTCTGAGAGTGTATGATTAATATTTTGAATTTTGTATGACACTAATTCAATTTGTTTTGTATTTTGCACTATGAGTAAGACAGAGAGAGATACAACACTGAAATACACCAAAAATCTACATTTCAGCTGTAGTCTTTGTTTAAATTTCCCCTTAATTCCCGATAAATCTTGTGAATGGGAAATAACTATAAAACTAAATGAAGTCTGGAGCTAATAGCTCCAAACAATCTGACTTCATTAGGTCTGTTACACAGCATAGAAACCCAAAACGTAGTTCCACAACAGTACGTCCTATGCTGATGACATCGGCTGAGCACTGCTCCATTTCCCAAGGCTAAATGGTGACACAAATTGTGTGCCATGTTTTTGGATCATAATTCAAAAGGACTAACCCTGTCTCCAATATGAGGGTCACATTGTCATTAGTACAGGAGAGGATTACAAAAAAAAAGACAGAGAGGAAGAGACAGGAAATAGTTTGACTGATCAGATTACATTCTCAATTTGATGTAATGTCATAAACCTTCCCTCTACTGCTAAACAGATTTCTGATGCATACACTAGCAGTCAATGAGAACGCAAGGATTATAAAAATTGTTGAAAAGAATTCAAAATTTTTTTTATCAAAAATACAGTAAAAACTGTCAATTTGTGAAATATGATTGCAATTTAAAATGATTTTTTTTCTAATTTAATGTTTATTATTTTAAATGAAAAAAATATTTATTACTTTGATTTTAAACTGAATCTACTCCAGTCCTTAGTGTCACATGATACTTCTGAAATCACCATAATAGTGTTGTACAGTCTCAGAAAAAATAGTACAATGTTGTACTAAAGAAGGTACGAAACCCTTGTCATTATGGTAAAGCCTTTTTATAGAACATAATTGTACCTAAAGACAAAGAAACAAATTGGTTCATTGCAGTTTGTACCTTTAGAACATGATCTGTACCATGGGAAACCAAAATGTAACTATGGTTTTTAAAACCTGGAGATACAATATTGTACCTTCATTAAAGGTACAAATCTTTAACCGGTATCAGTAATCAGACACTTTGTACCTTAACAGTGTCGAATGTGTTCCTTCACGAACTATATAAAGGCACTCCACCATCAGTGTGCAGCATCCACTTGGATGATGCGACAGCAGCCACAGAACAGTGGCGCCAGTGCGCTCACCATACACTAGCTAATGGTGGAGTGGAGAGACAGTGATAGAGTCAATTTGGTGGATGGGGATAATTGGGAGGTCATAATGGGTAAAGGCTGATGGAGGGAATTTGGCCAGGACACCAGGGTTACACCCCTACTCTTTCCGAGAAGTGCCATGGAATATTTTTTTATGACCACAGAAGGTCAGGACCTCGTTTTAACGTCTCATGTGAAAGACAGTGTTATTATTAGAAAGAAATCATTATTAGTGTTTATAATAATTAGACTGCTTCAGAGTTTGTTGTTAACTATGAAAGTACCATTCAAAAGTTTATTAATTAATTACTTTTATTAATCAAGGACACATTAACAATAATTATAGTTCAAGAGTAAAAGACATTTATAGAAAGACAGACAGACAGACAGACAGACAGACAGACAGACAGACAGACAGACAGACAGACAGACAGACAGACAGACAGACAGACAGACAGACAGACAGACAGACAGACAGACAGACAGATAGATAGATAGATAGATAGATAGATAGATAGATAGATAGTATAATATACTGATTAAATACCAGTAATAATGTATCGTGAAATAACAGCTTATAGTCATATTATAATGATTTCTGAAGGATAATGTGAGACGATGATGCTGAAAAATCAGCTTCAAATTATGGGAAAAATATCATTTTTTATTTAGAGAGAAAACAAATATTGGTCATGCTTTATTTTAATGTGCAATTTATGCCATAAACAAACCAATACCTAAGACTTTTAGCTCTGAACCACTAATTAGCAGTGTATTAATAGTTAGTAAGGTAGTATCAGGGTTTAGAAATTGGTTAGGATTAGGGATGTAAAAAAAGATCATACTTTATAAGTGTTAATAAACAGTGAATACCTTAATCAGATAATAACCCAGTAGTTAATGGTGTGAATTGTTACTTTAATTAAAGTGTCTCCCAAATAAATTCTATTAAATATCTTTTGAAAACATAAAAAAAAATTACTGACCCCAAACTCTTGACCTATAGTCTGTGTTTATGAAATCTTAATTTGACTGAACTGTATTTATGCAGTCTGTGAAACATATGGTCGTCCTTTCCATAAAGTGCATGATCTCCCGGAGAGGAGCAGAGAAAACGGAAAGGCCTGCGGACAGTTGAGTCACATGAGCGGAGCACTCAGCTGGTGTCCTGCTGAATGGATAAATGCTCTGGGCGGAAAAGCACAAAAGCAAGATGCCCATGGACCTGGCTGAATACCCAACGCACTTGCATATCTTACGGCTGTCATATAGGCTCCAAAAAAGACTGGCTGCCATTCATACAAGGTCTTTATGACCCATTTAAGCTTTTGCTTTTGGTTCTTTTCACATTTTTTTTTTATAACGCATGCGGGTTGATTTAAATAGACAACTTATATAGAATAACAGTAAAAAAAATGGTTTCTGCCTCATATTTTTAGGCGGATTAACTTTAAAAGTGTTTTTAACTTACATTACAGTAAACTAAGTTGAATCTTTCTTAACTTGACTAATTCATTTAAACTTAGTTAAGTTAAAGTTATATAAAAACATGTTGTCGAGACTCTTAAGACAATATGGACTTCAAATAAGATTTATTATTTTCTCAAAGGTTTCATAGGTTTTAATTAATGTACAAACAGTAGCACTTTATTTTGATGGTTCATTTGAGTATTAGTAGACTGTCTGCTTAAAATCTGTTGATACTGCTCCTTTAACAAACATTTAACTGACTATAAAAAACTTTGCGAGTACATGTCAAATTAGACTAACCCTAACCTCAACCCTAACTTCAACCCAACAGTCTACTTATAATAATGAGAATTAGTTGACATGTAGATGCAATGTATCTTAAATTCAACAAACAGACCATCAAAATAAAGTGTGACTGTACAAACATTAACAAATGTCTACATATACTGTATTTATTGATGGATATACTGTTATACATTAACACTAATGGAAATTGTGCATTATAAATCAAGCTTGATTGAAGGATTATTTGCAAAGAATCTTTCTAAAAATATTTTTAATGTTAACTAAGTCTTTGTCTTAATGTTGATGAACTTGTCTTAAATGATGGACAGGAATTATTTAATTTAAGTAGTTATTAAATAACTTTTAAGCACAATATTTTTATATGTTTTATATTTCACTTGAAGACATTTAAAAAGGCCCATGTATTATTTTTAATGCTGTGAAAATAGTATTTAAAAAATAAAAATATTTAACCTTGTAAAGATTAAAAATATTTAATCTTGTTATTTTTTACATTAACACTGGTAGAGGTACATGAACTTGTCTTTAATGTTGGACTGCAATTATCTAGTTTATGCAGTTATTAAATCACTATATATATATATATATATATATATATATATATATATATAGCATACTTTTATATTTCACTTGAAGACAGGCCCATGTAATATTATAATGCTGTAAAAAAGTATGTCAAATATTTCACCTTTTTTACATTAACATTGGTGTCCTGCAGAAATATTTTAAGAATGAAATTTTGGCACATGAAAGTTTACTTTAAATATTAAGAAAAGAAAAAATAAATTAATAAAAATAGACTACACATATCATTTACTGCAATTTGTTTTACACTTAAATTTCAATTAATCACTAATTGTGACTGGCCAAACATAATAATCTACCTAAGAAGTACCAGTTACCCATGCTAACAAGCTAAAGTTAGTATAGACTGTATTCAGAATGAGGTTTCTCTTGTGCGTCACATTTGTGGTGAGGGTTGTGCCTTAATTTCTACACTCATGTAAATGCTTTTGTTTAAGCTCCCCTTCACGTTGAGATTTTACATTATTTGGTGATTTTATTTTTTAAGGGGAGTCTTGTAAAACAAAAAAATTTTGTAAAACTAACACTAATAGATATGTTACAAGATCTATGCAGAAAACTGAATTGAAAGGCTGTTTTTAAATTCATCAGGCTAATTTAATATTTAACAAAAAGCACATTAAACAACTAACATAGGTATGCTATGAAAAAAAGGATTAGCAGATGGAGATTTGGAGAGCTTGGTATGTCTGTTTGGATGTGGTGGTCCTCTGCAGATACTTTTTGGGGTAAGGGCTTCCTGGCTACTGGTTCAAGGAACAGCAAGCCCAGACCGCAAAAAGACCTGAAAAGGACAAGGCAAGGACCTGGAAATCAGCTTCGTAAATCTGAATAAAAGAAAGAGAAAGTGGGAGAGAGAATGGTGAATGTCAGGGTTCTTTCATTAAGAAACGATTCCTTAAAATGCACACACATTCATCCGTTCAGGATAGGTTGAAAAGACGCGATTTAAACTTGTACAATTAGTGAAAACGATAACATTTCACAAACTGGGCTTCGTTATTGTTTGCGTTATTCGACGGTGACGCAAATGGCCTTTCCAAAAAGTGTTGCGTTTTATGACGCGCATCCTAAACTTCACGCCTCACAGGTTAGTCCTCTTATACCAACTACGTACCTCGCAAATTTCTGAAGCCCATATTCGTCACTGTCATTTGCGCAAATATAATTTCACCTGTGAAATCCTGCTAGAACGCACCCTGAAACCGTCAGGTGTCGGATGTGAAACGCCCTTTAATCCGATCCTTTACCAGCATTGTGTCCTGCGTCTTATTTGTTACCCCAGCCAAAGATGGTTGGGATCCAACGGAGTAGATGACGTAGGCACCCGTTAGGCTTACCTCACTAAATGCGTCATATGTGTAAAAGTGTCGCCCTCCCATGCGCGCTCTCCTCCCTTTTCTGATTGCGCCTCTGCCACGATTCCTATAACGACTTTAGCAGTTTTTTTGTCTACAAATCAACCACTAAAATCATAAATCGTGTCTTGTGTTTGTGTTAATGGCTATCATTAACAGATATGGAAAACACAAAAACAAACGCTCATGTTGTGTTTTCGGGTTGATTGAAGGAGGCGTGTTTAATTAAACGTTTGCTGTCCATGGTGCTGAACCGGCTGCTGCTGCTGCTGCTGTCCACTGTGCTGAAACTCACCCGCCGCGGTGAACGCCCTGTGCTGCACACACCCACAGTTTGTGGAAGACAAGGGAGGAATGAAGGGGTTTTCGTCACGCCGATGATTAGAAAACGGGTTCTTGTAATCTGGAACATAAAAGTGAACTTATTCAAATAAGATTTTTTTTTTCCACAAGAGAATATTAAATCACTTTTTGCTTCCTTTTTCTCATCTCAAGTACACTTTATGGGTGTGTATGTGCGTAATCGTGTCATTTCTTGGGTGTTTGCTTGCAGTGCATGTTTATAGGCTAATGTTTCATTTATTCAAGTTGGAACCTTTTTAATACAATCCTTATAGTACTTGTTGCTAATGTTTTCTTGGCGCCCCGGTCGGTTTGGTGTAATACTGGGCGTAAATCGTGTTGATGGCAGCATAGATGGGTGTCTATTTATTTGAGCACCATACATGCTGCTGACACACACACCTTAAAAGACACATAAAAGCACTTACGAATCAGATTGTTAACATATTATGCGTTTGTATTGTATTTTCCACGGCATACTCCTCGTAGGTGTCTGTTCCACACCACGAAGTTAAAGCCAAATATCCAGTCACGAGTCAGCATTTGGAAAACGCAATTAAAAAATTGAAAGTGCCGTTAGATGATTTCATACAAGAATGAAGAAGTAGCGCGAAATGATGGACGTTTCAACAGTTGTATTGGCAGTGAATGGCTTTTAAAAGCGCGCAAAGGGACGCAGGGCGAAGCACGCGTGTTATAGCTCATTTATAGGCGCTTATAACCGCTGCTCACCTACCCGCTCCACAGAGACCATCTGAAACAGGGTGTTTTCTCCGTGTGTTGAGTGAACAGATGAAGACAGATCATGCATTAGACTGGCTGTCAGAAAGTCAGAAATACATGACCGATGTTTATCGTTAAATGGGGCGACACGAGAAAACGCGGATCCGTGAGCGTTAAAAGAAAATAGATGTCAGACTTACCGTGCGAGCGATGCTTGAAGGAAGACGAGATCTGTTTTTTCCTCCTTTGGTTTTTTTTTTTTTTGTAATAACAATTCCAATAAATTCGAGCGTGCTCCTCTCACGTTCATGTTTTCAAATGACATTTTTACAAATTTCACTACATTTAAACTAATCCATTTTGTCCTTTCCGCGTTTCTGGAAAATACTGCAAAATCTAATGGAAGCGCTCAATTCCTCCAGTCTGCTGTTGACCTGCATTGACGTCATTGCGTCATTAGGTTTCCCCTGGAAACACAGGCGTTCCAAAAATAGTAACACATTAATTCAACTCTGGCTGAGGGCTGGCGCGAGCGACTATTTGTATCAATCCATAATATTCTGATTCGCGCCCTCCCCCCTACATTGTCTTCCTCTTTTTATTCCTCTTCCTCCTCTTTTTTCCATCCTTGCTCATTTTTCTTCTAAAGCGTTAAAGCTCTGAAGCACGAGTGGCGCACAAGCAGGGACGACTTTACTACTATTTTAAGGAGCGGGCAAGGTTACATAAATATCAAAGTGAGGGACAGAGCAGAGGAGAGCGTTCTCCGGTTTGTTTTATTCCCGCCCGCAATCAAAAAACGGTAGTAAGAGCAGAAACAGCGCCACGAGGACAAAAATAGAAAGTGCCGAGCGCGAGCAGTCATCTGTCTGGAGAGCTCGTGAGTCCTCGCGTGTTTTAGTGCATGGGAGCTCTCTGCTATAGAGAGAGTAGAAACAAAGGACATAGCGGTTTTTCTTATGTATTACTTATATAATATTATTTTGCGGTTGCATTTAAAGCGTTACATGCATACTGATCACTTAAATACAATTATTTGGTATGGTTTCTTTCTCATGACCGATCATGTGTGCAGTATAGAGCCACCATTCATTCATTCTCAGACATTTGCTCCAGCTATCGATACTTCCTAATCAGATATAAAATCTACCTTTGCGTCACAGAAACGCAGCGGGATGCACGTGCGCGCTGCGTGCTGCATCGCCTCTGAAAAATGCCAAGATCAACCATTAACTCATTAATGAAATGCATCGGCCACTCCCTTCATGAACTGATACCCTTCACCGTGTGTACGTGTTGATGCTGACAGAAGCTATGAGCCTAAGCTGCAATATAAAACAGAGATGCAGAGCTGCGCCGGTAGTCTTACAGTTCGTGTCACTGCTCACGACTAAAGAAAGCCACTCAAAAACGCATTTAAACACGAGCAAATATTGACCGAGTAGATGGATTGGTGACTATGTGGACGTTTCATTCATTTATTCTATTGCAACAACGAATTTAGGTTATTTAATGCAGATAATTAAATAAAAATAAACGAGAGCCTTTGTAAAACCTGATGAGAAAGCTGAACAAATGAGCCTGAAAGGAGCTCTGAGTCGGAGAAGGATTGTATGTGCAATGATGCCTTTGTGAGAGGAATTGTCAAATATTTAATGAGCAAGAACAATCTTGTCTTAGAAATGCATTAAATGTTGTTCTAAACCATGTTTGTGTTTAAATGTTTTTATTTTAGAGAGGGGGAACCAAAATATTCACTTTTATAAATAAAGGTTCTTTACTGGCATTGATGGTTTCATGAGGAAATCTTTAAAGCAGGGGTGCCCAAACTTTTTCGTAGGAAGGGCCAAAAACCAAATGTCATTGAGAGCCATAAGCCGAAGGTAAATATACCAAACTATTACATTAAAGTTGCCATGGATGATCTTCTAATTTATTTCATAATATTTATGTTATAGAAAACCTTACTTTAAATGGTAACAACTAATGCAGTATGAATTTTTAAACTATAACTCATTGCAATAAAAACATAATCACATTTATACCAGAGATGAGTTCAATGCTAAATACAAGTAATATCTGCGTTTGCCTTGATTTGCTCATCAAAGTTGTCCAGTGGTAGTATGTACATTTAAATAAAATCTGGTTCATTTATATTGTTTAATTAAAACACTTAATTTCAGTCAGCTTTTAATAATAAAACAAACAAACAAAAAAGGGTTACATTAAACGTGTATTAAAAATGATCCCCATTATTCTTCCTCTCTTCTCAGAAGGGATATAGGCCAAATTAAAGGTTACCATGGGCCAACTTTGGCCCTCGGGCCCTAGTTTGGGAATCTCTGCTTTAAAATATGTGTGAAATAAAAATATATATATTTATTTTGTTAGCGTGCATGGTTGTTCTTTAGGTAAATAATTCATCCCTGCAAGTTAAGCCACTGAAATTAAAAAAATGTTTGTTTTGGTAATCTTCAATTATTATCGGACCATTTGCTTCTTTATTTGGAGAGGCCGGTCCTTCTTCTTTGATGTCAATTTGTAGGTTTTAGCCACAATAGTCTTAACCACCACCTTCAGTAACTGTCCCTTATATATTGTCATACTGGAATGGTTTTGTAAATGATGTGCCATTAGCCAAAATCATTACCCTACAATTTTTTTATTAACAAACAAAATAAGAGACATTACCTTTAAACTGATTAATAGTAATGCAAATAAATCTTATAAGTGTTTTTTTTATAGTGAAACCTGAAACTTCTGTACATCTATTTTGCAATTTCCCTCACTCAATGACATTTTGAAGTGACATTTTTGATTTTCTGAAAGATTATGTAAAGCCAGATTTTGAATTTACATAAGAATGATTTATATGGTTTCCATGAATGTAAAAGGGAAATTATTTTTATTTCACAAACCTTATTATTTTTTTGCCAAAATTTCATATTCAGAATGTAAATTTTTCATATTTAAATGAAAATGTATTTTGAGTCTACTGAGCAATCAACAAACTCAAAAGGAACAATAACAGGAACTTTGATGAAGGACTTGTACTCATTTTGCATTGAATGACTGAAGAAGCCGGGACTGTTGTTTGTTTAATCACATTTGTTGTGTAATGTTTTTCAAGCATTAAATAAAAAAGAAAAAAACTCTTAACCACACCCACCATTCCATGATGAACAAATAAAAGCCCCACCCCTAGTGTTCTGTTTTTCATCTGTAAATACATCAACATATTGAAATAAAAGTCTCAGCAATTTCCCATTCACACAACCTTTAAAATCCAGGACACCTTTTTATTGCATAAAAAATAATTGTAGTATTTGTATGTATAATTTTTGTATAAAATTATGTAGTAAAAATGTGAGT